AAGGGCTGCCTGACCCAACCCCAAGGTCTCTCCTAAGAGCTGTGCTCACCTCAACAAGCACCGACTTCCAGCTGCACAATGCCCCAAGCACCGTCCAACGTCGATTTCCTGAGAATATTTGCAAAACAAAGAACAGGAGGCAATCATTCAGGGCCTGTTTCCTACCTGGCTTGGCAGGTGGGCCAAGGGTTCACAGGGTCAGAGCATCTGGCAATGGCCCTCTCCTTCCCCTTAAAATCATGCAGTTAGAAGGGACCTCCAAGGGCTATCTAGAAGGAACAAGCCATAATTCAGGCTTGACATCCTTATCTACTGGTAAAAGGGTGACTGGGGCATAAACACACCTTGATTCGCTCTTGCTTTTCCCCGGCAGCATTGATGACAACTTCAAAGTAGTACTCCAGGTGGGAGACCCGGTAGCAAGCCTCCCTCAGCTCACAGCGCTCTAGGATGCGGACCGCCTGGTTCCCATTCGGACTCTTCAGGAGAACCGAGTCAAAGATTGTGGGGACACAGAAGACCCCATCTGAAAAGAGAAATGGGGCATGATGCCTGTTTATACAGGAAGGTCTTTGCCAAACGGCAAAAAGAGATCAGAGTGGGAACACTGTGTCTCCCTTGGTGCGAAAGCACTACTGTATGAATTTGGCATGCAAAGCCATTGAGGTCTGCTCTCTCTGAAGGAGTCGGGGCCCAGGAAGACCTCCCTGCTAGAAAACCTGCAGAGCTTCTGCTAGTCAGTGTGGGCATTACTGGGCTAGACAGTGAAGCCAGTTGAGCCAGTTCCTCTTTTCCCCAAAAATGGGAGACAGGAGGCCTTCCCCTGGATCAACACCCTCCCCATGTCTACATCTGGAAACTATGACCCCCAGAATCCTCCTAGTACCTCCAAGGCTCTTTGAGACCCTGCCCTCATCTTGCCTACCTTCAAGGCGAGGTGGACTGGAACACTTCCCAACGTCCATGGTCCGTTCCAGGGGGGAGTCTGGGAAGAAAGTTTTCAGGGCCGGAGACCGGAGGCACTCATAAGGGTTGATGGTGCATTGGCAGTTCTCAATCACCTCCACCTCCTGGGGACCTTCAAGAAGCAGCAGCTCTTCCACCCGGACGCGGCTGGGTTCGCACTGGTAGCCCATCGGGCAGGAATGTTCTGATCCCATGCCACTGGGTTCGGATCCAGCTGGGGACCATGAGAGCCTGTTCTGTGTGTGCCCAAGGGAAGGGAAAAGAACTCTTTTGCATCCCAAACTTATGTTCCATTCTTCAAACCATTTTGTCTGCAAATGTCCCATTTGCAAATCAGACCTATTTCTCCATTCTGTTTGCAAACTGGACACGTTCTCATCTCTTCTGCAAACTACAGTACAGTGGGCCCTCCATATTTACTGGGATTAGGGGCACAGGACTCCCATGAAAGTGGAAAAACTGCAAATAAAAAACCAACACTTTTTAGGTGAGAGAACATCGCTAGGAATCTCTGTGTCCTCCAATGCAACTCTGTGGTCAACATCTGCTAGAGGTTGACCATGGATTCACACTGGAGGCCCTACAAATGCATAGAGGAATGTTTTCTCAAACAGTCTCTAAGTCCTTTAGTACAACTCTATGCTCAACTTCCAGCGGAGTTGCACTGGGGGACCTAGAGATTCCTAGACATACTCATCAAATCTGCAAATGTGGAAGGCTGACTGTAGATCCATTCTGCTTAGTTGTAATACTTCATATTAGCTAATTAGTAACCCCACAAGGTTACTAATCTGCAAATGTGGAATGCTGACTGTGGATTATATATATATATATATATAATATTTCTTATTAGCTAATTAGCAACCCTCCGAGGGAGGCCATAATGCACGTCCATTCCGAAGAAACCAGGTGTTCCTTACCCTCTTGCTTCGAATGAAGTCCAGCATGGAGGATTGTCTGGTGAGTTCTGGGAGCCCAGAAGTGTGGGCCTTCATGTGCTGGCTCCCCCCACAATGCGTCCTGCAAACCCCCACATCAACGCTCACTGGGCTGCCAGAGAGATCTGACCGAATTAAAAAACGGAAGATTAAAACCAGATTCATACGGTGGACCAGGTTTCATTTGGGATCCCCAAACTATGACGGTAAATATTACATTTTGCAAAACCAATCTAACTTCCTTTTAAGGGGTGGAGGGTTTAAAGTCCAACCATTCCATTGACAATTTGTTTGAGGTCTGAGGTAGGATGAAGAAAAACCAAGCTTTCTTTCAGAACCATCAGTTGACATGTAATGAATCTATATGTAATGAATCAGTAAATCCAAGACAGTTTTTAAAAATTATCTCAGTGCTGTACTTAAAAACCAGTTAAGTGATGTGTTTTACTTCTGTGTTGTTTTAACTTGTTGTACGCCGTCCCAGTTGCTTAGCAGAGCAAATTTATTATTATTATTATTATTATTATTATTATTATTAAGTACAGCCAGCCCTTTGTATCCATGGATTCAACCATCCATGGTTAGAAAACATCAGGGTTCCTTGTAAGGCTTTTCCAGAGAGAAAGGGGGGGATTAACTGCCCTTCCGGATGAGTGCCAGGCTTCATTCAGGTCAGTTCAAGTTTTAACTGTTCATATACCATAGGTCACACCAAAGGGGTTATACAAATATCAAACAATGAGTTTAAACTATGAGCTATAACAGAGAATTCCCAACACCATTTCTAGTATTACTGTGCTTGCTAGTAGAAATTGAAATATACAAAATAATGTCATGGGGCAGCAAGATTTCAGACCTTTGGGAATGCCGCATAATAACTTGGACAGGCTTCGGCTAATGCCATTCAGAAAGTGGCAGCTGTTCTAGCAATCGTTGTTGTGTGCCTTCAAGTCTTTTCCGACTTATGGCGACCCTAAGGCAAACTTATCACGGGGCTCCTCTTAGCCACATTTCTGCAGAGGGGCTTTGCCATTGCCTTCTCCTGAGGCTGAGAGAGTGTGACTCACCCAAGATCACCCAGTGGGTTTCACGGCCGAGCCGGGAATCAAACCTTGGTCTCCAGAGTGCTAGTCCAACCTCAAAGTGCTACCAAAGTCTTTATTAGAAAGCAAAAATTCTGATTTTGGGGAGAGGGACCAATTGCTTTGAATAGATAGCAACCCCACAAAGGTATTTTTCTCCAGTTCCCTTTGACAAAGAAATAAAGAACTTCCTCCAGACCACGGCAAAGGTGGCATCTGGGGAAACAGTTTGCCTTTCAGCGTGAGAAACATGGCAGAGGAAGTGATTAGTGAATTCAGGACGTATCCTGCACGGGCAATTTTAGTCTTGAAAGCAAGGTGTGAGACCACCACCGATTTGATTTCCCCAGCGCTCAGCTCAGAAAACCGTCAGGAGAGGAGAGGAGAGGAAAGACAGGATTGTCTGCAAAAAGTCCAATACACAAACTGTCTGGCTGGTTTCAACTTCCAAACCAACAGAAAGTGTGGATCTGCTGTGGATTTTAGCCCGAACTTTTAAGGAGCTTTCCAAAGTGGCAAACCTATTTGGGGTAATCTGTTGCTGTGACTTCTTTGCCCTTTAAAAGTGGTTTGTGGAAGGGATTTATTTGCAAGCATTTCCCCTCAAAAAGTTTAATTCCTTGATGTCATTTGTTACAGCCTGAAAACAAACTTTATACTGCATTGCTTCTTGGGTGACTTACTTTCCTTCTGTTTCTGAGTGTTATTAGGGGTAAAAACCTTAATAATTTTGTTTTTAAAATGGCATGAAATGTACCCAATGCCATGGGAAATGTTTTAAGGCTTGGCCTACCTCACAGGGCTGCTGTTGAGAATAAAGATAAACATGGAATTAACTTTAAAAATTAACTTTAAAAAGGAGTAGGAAATGTTGCTTGTTACAATGAGAACAAAAGGAACATTGTTCCCATTTATGTTTCTTGATTTTTAAATAAGCTTTGCCCTAAACTTCAACACACGGGACCAAAACATCCTCTTGAACTTCATTCTTACCAACTTTTAATAATTATTATCTTGGTTTCACAATCTACCACATGGATATTTTTAAAAATCTTATACCATAAGTTGCCTAGGGTCTCACATTGGGGAAAAAAGCAGGAGATAAAGCAAACAGTTAAATGAACAATCAAGATATTGTTTTATGGGATTTAGGACCATCAGCAATTCAGATTGTATCCAATCTGAATGGTAGTGGTGGTTGATAATATTAATTTCTTTAATCATCCTCATCAACTATTATTAGAAAGGAGAGCCAGATTGGCATAGTGATTTGAGCGTAGATCTATGACTCTGGAGACCAGGGTTCGAATCCCTGCTTGGCCATGGAAACCCACTGGTTGACCACTGGTGAGTCACATTCTCTCAGTCCCAAAAAACTCCATGATAGGGTCACTATAAGTCAGAATAAGGGGGGGGTTCTATTTGCCTTCCCCTGAGGCTGAGAGAATGTGACTTGCCCAAGGTCCTCCAGTGAGTTTCCATGACTGGTTAGGGAATTGAACCCTGGTCTCTAGAGTCATAGTCCAACACTCAAACCAGTACGTTACATGCTGACTTAATGCTGTAAATGCTCTGCCGATTCCCTGGATGAGAGTCCTGCTGTCTGGGGAGCATGGGAGTTGTAGTCCAACCCAGGGAAAAGGGTACCTCTGGGAAAGCCCTGAAAATCTTCTCTGACATCCCAAATGGGCTCTCAACCTTTGCTGGTTCCCAAACCCATTCCTGCTACCTAGCCTTGGAGCGAATGCCATCCTTTGGAAAAGTTCTTTTTGTTTATGGACTACAGCTCCCAGTATCCTCCAGCTAGTCTAGTCTAAAACACCCACAGCAAAAGAGGATTTTTTTTCTGAACCCTGCTAGGTTGGGGGATGCAGAGAGTTACAGGAAAAGGAACTTTTCCAAGCTCAGAGTCTGGACAAATGGCAGGCTTTCACAGCCACATCCTCTGTTGAAGTTTTTAGCACCTCTGGAATGGAGATAACAGCTTTTTAAATCACCCTCTAAGTGCTGCAAATTTGCACCTGATTCTTAATTTCCTGTGCCTGCAATGCAAATGTGGAAGCAAAAACCGTGACATGATCACCAGACAATCAATCCATTGGAAAATGGCATTTATTTCAATATTCACCTTTCATATGTTTTAACTATATTGTATTTATTGTAGTTTATAAGTTACCTTGAGTGCCAAGTTTGGGGTAAAAAATTGTTGGTAAAAATTAGGGTGATGGTGATATTTGAAAATAAGAATAGGAATAATAACTAGGAAATTAAACATTCAACTGACAATATGTGGGATTGGGCCTTGTCTGTGTTATTTTGATTTATTTACATATTTTCTACTTTTGAGTGTAGCTGATAAATGAAATGGGGGATTTTTTTTATTTCTCTCCTTTAGAGTTTTTTTTTAAATTTCTGCTTCATTTTCTTTTAATGCAGAGAGATGAGATACAAATTTTTAAAACAAATAATTGTCGTCAACTTGGAAGGCACCCCTGAAGGCCATATAGTCCAACCCCCAGATGTTGCTGGAAATCCACCACTGAATGTTTTTCTGATAGGTGCAACAGATGGAGCAACAAGGGAAAAGAGAAGAGACCTGGCTTTGCTCTCCACTCACCATGTCCGACGTAAACGTACCGCGTCTGGCGTTTACAACATCCCAGCTTGGCAAAAGGATTACCTCCTTCGGGCGGCAGGTTGGCGGATCCCGAACCTGGAGTCATGGATCAGAGGGTCAGCCAAACTTAAGACTGGCTCAAGGAATTTATCAAAGCAAGAAAGAAGTGAAAGAGCTGGAGATGAAAAATATAGTTCCCTGGCTCCCAGCTTTTTCATCTGCACAACAACCTTGCAAGGTAGGTCATTAGGCAAGGGAAGGGCTCAAGATCAACCAATCAGCTTCACGTCTGAGTGGAGGGTTTTGAACTCAGTGCTCTAATGTTCCAACATAGGGATAGGAAACAGTACTAGGTCTTTTTAATGTTGGAAAGCGGAAGGACGGATGAGATCCGCACTGTACATTTATAGCAGTTTCATGCCACTTCAGTAGTCTTGCCTCTATCCTACAGAATTGTGGGATTTATCATTTGGAGAATCACTTACAATTCTTTGGTCCACTCCCCTGAAAAATAGCAATATGCTTTCCTGGCAAAGAAGTCTTAAGTATTTCTAACTACAAACCCCAGGATTCCATAGGATAGAGAGATGGCTGTCAAAAGTGGTATCAAACTGCTATAACTGTGCAGTGTGGACATACGGGGCAATTTACCCTTGTTTTGGCTGGGGGGGGGAAGGGAAATCTAGGGTCAAGGACCATGGAAATAGCCCTGGGTAGGGGGGGTCACACTTTCTGACCACTGCATCAAGCTGCCTCTCAAAGATGGAAGACAAATTGCAAACACCTTTGAGAAGCTAGAAGAATGTGTGTGGGAATCCTGTGGCCTTCCAGGTGTTGTTGGACTGCATTTCCCATCACTCCTCACCACTGGCTGTGCTGGCCAAGGCTCATGGGAGTTGCAGTCCTTGCCTCTGTACCAGGAATTCTTTCCATAGATCAGCTGTTGAGCTGGGGTTGCCACTTCTTCTCTCCCTGGAGGGCTCCTGCGTCTCCAGGATTCAAGGGGTCATGGGTCCAACAGGTCAGACCCTCCATGTGGCCGGCCCCTAATGCTCCCAGCCCAAAGGCATTCCCTCTTTTGCCTCCTGGAAGGAGTTTCCCAGGAAATTTAAATTTGTTTCTGTTCTGGTATTTCTGCCTATGGTTAAAGCTCTTTCAAAGCATGGGGGCCTCATGGAAGGGAAAAACATGGCAACTTTTCCCTAGGCTTATATTGCCATGTCAAATTATAGGCATGCTTACATTTTCTAAGGTAAGAGCTCTTTTTAATTCCCTTCTGGGAAGTGATTTCATGGAATCTACTTTTTGCTGGAAGGGATCAACCCCCAAGGGCCACCGCAGGACCCCCACCCCCATCATCCCCGCCTCCCCAGCTGATTTGAGATTGAAAGTGAGCCTTGGCTTGTCTTTTCCCTGACCTTTTCCTTGTCAAAAATAGCTTTCCCTTGACAAAAACCTGACATTTAGGGGAAAGTGGGAGACAGGGCTGATGGGAACCAGAGTCTAATGAACTCTCCACAGGGCCGCAGGTTGTGCTCCTCCCACTGGTGAAACTGGCCACCAAATCCCATGCGCCAGCGGCACGCACCCATGTGGTGGGATTGCCAATCTGGATGCTAACAGAATCATAGAGTTAACACAACAGGCATCTTTGTCCAGGCAGTCACAAATAAACCATTCCAGAAAGATGCCCCTCCAACCTCTGTTTAAAGGCCTCCCAAGAAAGAGAAGCCATCACCCTCCGAAGCAGCCCATGCCACTGTCAGACGGCTCTTACAGTAACAAAACTCCTCTTAATGTTTAGATGGAATTTCTTTTCTTGCAATTTGAATTCGTTGGTTCATATCTGAGTCTCCGGAGCAGCAGCAAAGAAGTCTGTTCCTTCTTCTCCCTTTGGAGATTTAAAGGGGTTGCCATCTCACCTCTTGCTTGGTCTTCTCTTCTCCAGGTTCAGCTCAGAGAAACAGAGAAAGAGGGGAGAAAAAACGAAACTGGACTTACCCAGGGTGCCAGAGAGACAGAGGAGCCAAGGAAGGAGCAGCAGCATCCTTTGGAAAGCCATGGAGGTTCTCAGCAGCCAGAGATCTCAGCCAGGGATATTTATATGGCCTCAAGTAGATTCCATGGATGGTCTTTTGATGGTTTGTCACTGAAGACTGATAACCGGAGACGCCACCCTGTTTGGAGACACCTGAGCTGGGATGGAGGTGCGTCTGGAGGTAAGGAGCCATCCCGAACTTCAAAGGCTTTGCTGGGAGCCCGGGGGTCTGCTTCGCCCCAGGAGGTGTTTGCTGTGGGGCCAGGGAGCCTCATTTAAGTTCCCCAATCCCTCCAGGACGCTCCTTTGAAGTGGCTCATTTCAAAGGGGATTAGAGGGCTTTTGAACACAAAAAGCCACTCTTAAGGTTGAAGATTTAAGAGGTTGACTTCTCCTTTCATTCCCTTTCTATCACTTCCTAATTTTAAAAAGAATTTCAGTTATGTCCTACCTTTCTTCCCAGAAGAACCCAGTAAGCTCCTCAGCAGACCGAATACTTTTGTAAAGGTTAAAAATTGCCCCTTTGGTCACCAGTACAGAGAGAGAGAAGGAAAGGGAGAAAGAGACAAAGAGAGATAAAAAGGAAAACTGAAAAGCAGAAGAAGAGAGAGGCCGATTTTCTAAACACAGTAACCCTATGCAAACTTAATTCCAAGTAACTCCTGTTGAATTTGGTCATGCTTGGTGCTAGTCCATTCCTGGACCTAATTTAAACAGTTGGGAGTTAAACTGTTATAGTAGGGGCAAGGGAACCCTGGTCCTTCAGATGTTGCAGGACTCTAAATCCCATCATTGTGATAGCAGAGCCAGTGGGGGCTGGAATGCAAAACAGCGCCAGACTGTGTTACCTGAAACAGAAAAAAGCACCTTTCCCCAGGGAAACCTACCCAAGATGGGGAGAAATGTGTGGCTCTCCAGATGTTACTGGACTGCAGCTCCCATCAGCTTGAACCAGCACAGTTGTGTGTGCGGGGGAGAGGGTGAGAGTTGGAGTCCAACAGCATTTGAAGGCCCACATATTCCCTATTGCCCACTTGAACACCCTGGTTAGTCCTTGGATGGGAGACAGCCAACAAACACTAGATGCTGGAGGCTCTATTTCAGAGGAAGGAACTGGCAAAACCACCTCTGAGTATTCCTTGCCTAAGAAAAGCCTTTGAAATTCATAAGTCGACAGGCAACTTGTAGACAGACACACATAGAGACCCGTGTGGCAAAAGGCAGCATAGAAAAAACACCAACCAGAGATTGAGTAGAGACAAAAATATATGTATTTAGGGTAAAGAATTAGCAACGTACAGGTGTAAACAAACCACTGTGGTCATCATATGTACAACACAATCTGGGGTATCTTATATACAGAACAAACCCCACATTTCAGGTCCATTGGAGGCGGCCCCATGGCCAGGAGCTTCATCTGCTTGGAGGAGCCTTGTGCCTCAGGCGGGAGCCACATGCATGCCTCAAGGTCCAGCTCGGGCTCCTCCTTCCCAGGTGCCTCTTCTTCTCTCCGTTCAGTCCAGGGTACCTAAAACCATTTTGGCACAACTCTTTGTTTATTTCAGGTCTGGGCCCACGCAGAGAGCAGGCTAGGAGTCCCAAGAAGACTGTTACCCCCATGTTGGACTACAAGGCATGCGGTGACTTATCTGAGTGCCTCCCCTTCTA